ATGTTAAGTCTTCCTATCCAGGAGCATGGTATATTCTTCCATTTTTGTAAGTCTCTTTTGGTGTCTTGTAGTAGTGTTTTATAGTTTTCTTTGTATAGGTTCTTTGTTTTTCTGGTTACATTTATTCCAGCATCAATCAATATGATCATGTGATTCTTTTCCTTACTTATATGGTGGATTACATTGATTGCTTTTCTAATGTTGAACCATCCTTGTATCCCTGATATGAATCCCACTTGGTCATGATGTATTATTTTTTTGATGTGCTGTTGGATTCCGTTGGCTAGGATTTTGTTGAGAACTTTTGTATTCATCAAATTTTTAGGGACTATTCCCTCTGAAATGGAATGGGCAGCTATTGTAAATGGTATTGCTTTCCTAATGTCCTTTTCAGCACTGTCATTATTAGTATAGAGGAATCCAACTGATTTTTGTATGTTGATCTTATGCCCTGCCACTTTGCTGAATCTTCCAACGAGGTCTAGTAGCTTTTTTACTGAGTCTTTGGGATTAGTACTGAGCACTGTAACCACTGTGACACTAGGGCTCCTTGAGTAGAAGCCAAGCATGCTATTAATCATTCTATACTGCCCATTAAAGAATTAACAAGTGCTGTGGGTTAATACACGCTGGACCACAAGGTCAGTTTGAATTGCAAGGTTGGTGGTTCAAGCTCACCAGCTGCTTCTAGGAAACCCTTTACAGAGTTGCTATGAGTCGAAACTGACTCGATGACACTTAACAACAACAATAAATGTTAATAGTGCTGCATTGAAGGAGCTCTGGTAGCGTAGTGGTTACGAATCGGGCTGCAAACCTTAAGGTCAGCGGTTCGAAACTACCAGCCGCTCCATGGGAGAAAGATGAGGCTTTCTACTCCCGTAAAGATTTACACCCTCAGAAACCCTGTACAGGGTCGCTATGGGTTGGAACCGACTCGATGGCACTTAACAACAACAGTGCTGCTTTGAGAAACATGGGTCAAGATGAAATTCGGTTATTTTCTGTGTAGTTGATAAAACAGAGCACTGCATAGCACATTTAAGCCAATGACTTATAATCATTCATTCAAAAACTACTGAGTAGTTGCTATGTGGCAGACACTGGAGACAATCACTGTCCTTCAAAACTGTGCTGGGGCATTAAAAAATGAGGTATCAGCAAAACAGTTTAGAGCATGGATGAATCTGTAAGGCATTATACTGAGTGAAGTAAGTCAATCAAAGAAGGATAAATACTGTATGAAAGCACTATGATAAAAAGTCAAGAAAAGATTTACACACAGCAAAAACACTCTTTGGTGGTTACCAGGAATGGGAGGGAATAGGAGGGCAGAGTAGGCATGTAATATCAGGGATGAAGGAAAAGGCAATGTATAGTAATAGAGAAGGCAACGCATGACCATTGACAAAGGAAATTACTGAGTGGTGCACAAAAGTAAAAGCTTTCAAAGGTAAATCCTATTATACCCACAATCCTGCAATAATAATAATAATTAATGAGTAGATACATAGGTAGATATGCAAGATGAACAGATGTAAGAATGCAAATGGGAGTATTGTTGTTGCTGTTGTTAAGTGCTATCAAGTTGGTTCCGATTTATAGCGACCCTGCATAGGGTTTCCAAGGAGTGATTGGTATGTTTGAAGTGCCGACCTTGTGGTTCAAACCGACTTTACAGCCCAGTGTTTTATCCCACAGCGCCATACCAGGATTTTATACATATACATATATAAATATATATATATGTTTGACAGAGGATATTTCTACATATGTATTTATAAGGGGGCTTCAAAAATTAATGGAAAAATGGGATGAAAACACAACAGAATTGTTCTATGAACTTTTGAAGCCCCCTCATATTGTTCTATAAATATATTGAAGGACATAGTAAAGCCTACAAAGGACAAGGTTCTGAAAACTTCTGGAAAACATGACTCATGGGGTTAGGGAACTTAGGACCACAGTGTCAGGGGACAACTAGTTCAATTAGCATAACATAATCCACAGGAACAATGGTCTACATTGTAACTGGAGTCTTAAAAGCTTGTGAGTGACCATCTAAGATGTAACTACCGGTCTATCCTCATAAGCAAAGAAGAGTGAAGAAAATTTGAGGCTTAAGGAAACAATTTCTCCAAAGAATTAATGGACCAAGTGAACCACAGTCTCCACTACCCTGAAACCAGAACTAAATTGTGCCTGGCTACTACTATGACCACTTTGATCAAGATCACAATAGAGTCCTAGACAGAGAGTCAGAGAAAAAAACTGTGGAACAAAAATTTAAAAACATAAAAAAGAACAGACCTCATTCATCTGCCTTCCTCCTTTGTCTTATTTCAAGGCACAGGCAAAGACTGAGAGAGGTGGGAAATGCTAAAAGATTTTGGGGGGTAGTAGTAAACCCTGGAAGGAGCTCTGGTAGCGTAGTGGTTACGAATCGGACTGTGAACCCCAAGGTCAGCAGTTTGAAACTACTAGCTGCTCCATGGGAGAAAGATGAGGTTTTCTGCTCCCATAAAGATTTACAGCCTTGGAAACCCTGTTTAGGGTCACTATGGGTTGGAACCGACTCGACAGCATTGAACAACAACAACAGTAAACCCCGGAAGGCATTGAAGGCTCAGTGGTAGAACTCTCCCTTCCATGTGGAAAACCCAGTTTGAATCCAGCCAATGTTCCTCATATACACACAGGAGAAGAAAAACCCCCACCAGAATTACTGATCTGTTAGAAGCTACTAAGTCCATAAGACTATAGTCCTTATACACCCTTTGTGATAACTAAAGTTGGACATTAATTTGGCCAGACCAGAATTCTCAGTGATTTGGCAGTTAAGATGTAGTTATTTCCCATAATGAGATCTAATGTTGTTGTTACATGCCATCGAGTCAGTTTTGACTCACAGAGACCCTGTATAGGGTTTCTGAGGAGCAGCTGATAGATTTGACCTGCCGACCTTGTGGTTCACAGTCCAGTGCTGATCCTACAGAGCCACACCAGGAGTCCTACTGAGATCTAATATAATGTAATAATCATGAGAGCTGCAATGAGCAGCCAATTGAATGAAAGGGAGTTTCCTCAGGGGTGTGGCTTGTTTCAGATATATGTGGGTGCTCTGGAAAAGCTTGCTTGCTTTTTGCTAGATGTGGTCCTGATCTGACTTGTCATCTTACCTCTGGTTCTTTGAACTTGAGTCAGTTGCCTGCTGTATTACCTGCCAATCCTGAATTGTCAGCAGTCTGCCATCTTACTTGCCCACCGTGGACTCATTCCCCTCTGCAACCAGCAGTCTGCCATCTGACATGCCTATCTTGTGTTCATCAGCCCCTGAAGTTCCCTGACATGAGTCAGGAGGAGACTGAAGTCTGACATCTGATTCATGAAACTGGAACTTTCCAACCTCTGTAACTGTGTGAGCAATTTCCTTAAGACAAATCTCTCTGAATATATACATATATAAGCTTCATTGGTTTTGCTTCTCTAGAAAACTCAGCATAAGACACCCTTTCAAGCCTGGAACTGAATCCATCCACCGGGATCAACTTTCAGTCAAGCAATACTTAGGTCTATTAAGTGAATACAAATACCAGGGAGGAATGCACTCCTTAGTAAAATCAATCATACAGGACCAAAGGGCATCATCTGCCCCAAAACAAAGCTTGGAAAGCCGAAAGGGGCAGAAAAGAAGGAATAAAAATTGGTAACCCAAGGAGAAAGAGGAAGAATGCTGTTACATTGAGGATGATTGTAACCAATGCCATGAAACAAAATGTATATAAACTGTTGAAAAATAACATGGTCTGTAAATTTTCATCCAAACTAAAATGTACTGTTTTAAAAAAGAAAATAAATTGTGCAGGGGGGACGACTCTAACAAACAACTCACAAAATGCAAGCCCTTAGTAGAAAGTTCGAGTGTTATTGTACATATTAAAGGACAAGCTGGAAAGTGACCGGTGAATAACATATCTAAAGTATACACACACAGTTCATCTATGTATGTAGACAATAGAAGTACTTGCATTAGACTGGACCCTGAAGGCTACTTATTTGGGTCATGTTATTTATGCTCTTTACGAAATGCCTTCATTAAGCTCTAAGTTTGCTGCACTGTTTCAGTGAAGAACAAGGTATGAGTCATGTAAAACGCCTTACTAACATCATAGAAATCTTATACGTATGATTCAGTGCCACCTATGTGAAACTACATGGACATTTCTTTTAGAAATCAGAAGTGGAAAGTTTCTTCTTCTGTGTTGACAATTATATATTTGACTGTTTCCTTCACATCAACTGCCAACTCTTATAGACCCAAATTGGAGGCTCAACTTTATCAACTATGTCCAACCTTGTAGCCTGTACATTTGTGTATCTCCCAATCTCTACCCCAATTGTTCTTTGGTATTTTAATTTTCTCTGTTCTGGATTCTCAAGTCTTATACTTTACCATCATCTTATCTGTTATTAGCATATGTTATCTCAATTCATACCTAAAATTTAGTCAGGTAGAAATAAATAAAAATGAGGAAGAAAGACAAGAAAATAAAGAATAGTAACGCTAAGAGGTTGAAGCGCTCTGACAGATTAAAGGAGGAGACCCCTAATGAAGGCAGTGAGGATCATGTAAAACTTCCTAAAGGAATTCATAAGTCAGTTGAACACTGAAGGACAGGCTAGGAGTTACTTAAATAAAGAAGAGATGGGGGTGAGGAAATGTTGTTGACAAGAAATAAAAGCAAGTGCCAAGACACAGAGGTGAAAGGTAGTTTGGTGCATTCAGGGAACTGCTAGTAGTTATTTTGTCAGAACAGAGGGTGTTTTGGCAAGTGATGAGACATTACACTGAAAAGGTAAGTACAACACACAATATAAAGGACTTCCGATGCTATGTGAGGACTTTAGATCCTGGCCTAAAAAGCATGAGTAGAAATGTAAGTCAAGAGTTTATTGTAATAATCCAGGGTAGAAAAGATGACTCCATGTAAGAGAATCAGTTTCCACAAACGTCAGATGTCTTTAAGTAAAACAATACTTAAAACAGATTAGAAAAAAATCCAAATTGTATTCTCACCCCACCCCCAAACTGCAATCTCCATTACCAATATTTTTCTCTATAATATCATCATGGAAAGTGGGACTATTTGCCATAGGCAAAAGAGGAGTTAAGTCTTTGGGAGAAAAAGGGAAAAAACAAGACTACTAACTCCTAGATTTCCCATTCTCCTTTGCATCTGACATCACATGGATTTACAAGCAGCTCTAATAGGAAACACTGAGGAACTCTGACAACTATCCATCTCAGGACAAGCAGCCAGAATCTGTTAGGATTTTATGTCTCCGATTGTTCCAAGCACAGTTTCTAATACGGAAATAAAACTGTTCAGTGTCTCTGTCCTCGCCTCATTTTGTTTCACGGAGATATGCATTTCCACGTGTTCGGGTTCCAACAGCAGTTCTGTTAAGAACAGGCAGCCAGTGTCATCCTGAGCACTGAGGTAGGCTTTCCATGGTTGAGCCCCAGACCTGCTCATTGCGATGGTCTGGATGTTCACGACTTGCAGGGCCACCTGGAGGGTGTCAGGATGAACTGCTCCCTGCCAAGGCAACACTCGCTGGTGAGCAACTTTGAGGCTAAGCCAAGTTTTCTCAAAATACTCAGCAGTAATCTGGTGATTGGGGACAAGTGTGAGGGCTCCAGAATCAGAGAGTTCTTGTATCTGCTCCTTGTGCTCCTCAGGAATCAGGGGGCCTAAGAGGATCAGAAAGCTCGTGTAAGAGAAGTGCTTAATTTATAGGAGCTACAATTTTATTATTCATTTTTTTTAATACTACAAAGATGGCCATAATTTCATTTAAGTAAGAAATCACTAAAAGACTTAACCCTAAATTGTTTTATTACTGTTACTATCCTTCAGATTAAAAAAAAAAAAAGTTTCCATTGATAATGTGCCAGACTGCAAAGCCATGTGAACTGCAAGGTTGGCTGTTCAAGCTCATCAGCTGCTCCTCGGAAACCCTATACAGGGTCGCTATGGATCAGAATCGACTCGAGGGCATTTAACAACAACTAATCTTAAGATTTCCCTTACAATAAAATACACTATCTTGCTACTGGAGTCCTGGTATGGCACTGTGGGTTAATGTAGTGGACTGCAAAGTCGGTTTGAACTGCAAGGTCGGAAGTTCAAGCTCACCAGCTGCTCCTGGGAAACCCTATAAAGGGTAGCTATGGGTCGGAATTGACTCAACAGCATTCAACAACAACAAATCATGCTACTATTTAAAAATATACAAGTCACATTTTAAATCTAAATCCTCCAAAGTACACAATGTGATTTTTATCTTTGAATAAATGGTTTAGATAATCAATGATGAATGTCTTTCTTGTTGCGAAAGGCTCAAATTCATGTAGCAGTCTGAGGTTTAGCTAGGACAGTCTACTTTCTACCAATCACTGCAAAAGAGAAAACAGATTGATTATGATAAGATGTAACATAGCGCTATTTTTACCTGATGTGGCAAAGGATGCAGTATTAGGAAGCTCTGGACCATGGTGCTCTGCCCACTGGAGTTTAGAGATAGTTGCCCAGCGGGCTTTGCCATAAATTGGCACCAGTGTGTTGAAGTCTGAGGCCCAGCTATTCACAGGTCTTTCTGCCTGATCCTCCAACAGTCCAAGAGAAGGGTCCGATTTAGGGCTGCATAGGATCCGCTTAACCTCCTCAACACCAGCTAAGAGGAGGCGATAATAGAAGAGACCTCGGTCCCGTACCGCCATATCCTTTTCTTCCTCTGAAGTAAGACAACAGACTGAGTTAATTAAAAACAAAAACATTTTCCTACTATCTATGCCAACTATAACTGAGGGGGAAAAAAAAGGAAGGAGGAAGGAGGAAACTAGAAAACACTCATATCTTCTTCTCAGGTCCCAGACCTGACTCACCAAACAACGAAAGCTGTGAGAATTTCCATTATGGGTTCAGGCAAGTACTACACGTATTTCTTTCCGAAGTACCTACCTATGCAGTAGTACAGCAAACGTCCGAGCATGTCCTGGCACTCAGCAGGTCGTGAGAGGAACAGACGCAGCAGTGCCGTGAGGAGCTCCATCTTTACGGCTGGAAATGTCTCCGACTTCACATTCTCCACAAAGTCTTCCAGCACATAAGGAGCATTGGGGATTTTCTCCCCATGGACCCCAAGCAGCCAAATAAGTGCCTGCTTTCCCTACAGAATGAAGGAATAAGAACAGATACTCAACACTTGGCTGGCCAGAACACAAGACATAGTACACAATGACTGGGTTTGCCTTTTACCTAGTATCAGCAGTAAGGTGTATCTTTTTATTTACTTCACCTTGTATCAATTCACCCACTACACCTCCTACAACAAACAGGAATGCAATTCCAAAGCACAAGAGGGAATGAAACTAGAGAGAGTCTCAAGACTCATACCTATAATGTTCAGGCTTCCTCAGCTTTGGGGCCTCTGCTCCAATTTGGGGTTTAATGTGTCAGTAGAAGCTACTAACAGACTCAACCATTTTCTTGAAGAATGACTTCAAGAAAATGGTTATCACAGTCATCAGTGAAGCTTATTAAAAATATACAAGGGGGCTTCAAAAAGTTCATGTAAAAATTCCATTATCTTTCAATTTCATTTTCCATGAACTTCTTGAAGTCCCTTCATACAAGTTTAGGACCCCATAACCCTGAAACTTTAAGTCAGTAGGTCTGGGTAGGGTGAAGTCCAAAACTGATTTTTTTGTGAAAAAAATTTCACAGGTGATTCTGATTCTTATTCCAGCTGAAAAGTCCATACTCTAAATCTCTGATTCAAAACTGTTCAAGAGAATAATAGTATCAAAGTATCATGTAATATAAACCATACATAAATCCTGATGTTTTCATAATTTAGAATCCATTTATATCTAGGAGTTTTCACTTCAGATGCTGAGTAGGCAGAACAATGAGATTCCATTTCAGAGGGCAGAGTCCCCAGCAACCCCCTCTGCGTTGAAGCCATGGAGGATTACAGTCTACCTCACTGTCTTGGATGTTCTCCTCACAGCCGGGCAGGGCCTGACACACCGCTTCAGTACACTTGGGGCACAACCAAACCAGGTCTCGGAAAGTCTGCATCACCGCTACAATACAGCCCAAAGCACAAGAACACAGGGTTAAAGCCGCCTCCATGCTGTAAGGAATCTTCAGAGATAATGTACTCAGATTAGAATTTGGGGTGAATTTCTGTAGAATGGGTGTTGAAGGTGATGATCAATGATTATTTGGGAAATATCTAACATAGGCAATAATTTCTTGAATGAAGGTTGTTCTTCATAGATTGTCATGGGAATAAATGAGCAAGTGCATGGGAAAGTACTATGGGAAAATTAAAGATGTATGCAAACTTAAGGCAGTGATGCTACTGTTGATTGATATTCTGAAGATATGATGAATGGAGCCACCAGGGCCAGGGTAAGGTGAGGCAAGCAATATGCAGAGTGCAAAATGTAAGCAGATACTCACAGGTGGCACTTGCACAAACCTGAGAGTGAAAGTCTTCTTATATTTTGCATTCTAGGCATCTCACTGGAATCCTGCTGTGATACTGTAGGATAAGCAATACACTACTAACTCTAAGGTTGGTGGTTCAAACTCACCAGCCAGTCCTCGGAAACCCTAAACAGAGCTACTATGAGACAGAACCGACTCAACGGTACTAACAACAACAGCATCTCACTTGCCTTACCCTCATCCCAGCCCTGGATGACACTGCCTATAGCAGACTTCCATAAGCAAACACAGGGGTACCTATTGCCATTGAGTTAATTCCATCTCCTGATGACCCCATGTGTTTCAGAATAGAACTACGCTCCACTGTGTTTTCAATGGCTATAGATCTCCAGGCCTCTTTTCCAAGGTGCTTCTGGGGAGATCGGAATTGCCAACCTTTCAGTTAGTAGCTGAACACTTAACCATCTGCGCTACCCAAGGACACCTAAGAGAGGGGTCATTGTGGCCAGTGACCATCAAGTGGATTTCAACTCATGGTGCCCCATGCGACAGAGTAGAACTGCCCTGGGAACAGACTGCCAGGTCTTTCTCCTGTGGAGTAGCTGGGTGTGTCTGAACTGCTAGCCTTTCATTTGCGCTACCAGATCACCTTGAAAGTGGGGGCCACATTGGCTACCTAAAATGGGGGGGAGGGGTTATAAAGGCATGAAGTGACTGGTTTACAAGTTTTCAAAAGTGAGTTTAGTTTCAGAGTGAGGGGGGGAAGCTAGAATTCCCATTGAACAATTTTCATCTTGTCTAGACAGGTCAGGTGAAAGGGGATGGGGATAGGATTCTTTTAATTTAATAGTTAGTACCTGTTATGACTAATTGCAATTATCACAACTGTAAAGGTAGAAGAGTGTAACAAAAAATGGGGAGTAGTTAATCTTACTTTCCAGGAACAGTGGACTCTAGGACCATCAAGAGGGAAGAGCATGAACGGAATATAGGATCCTAATCAGAGAAGTAGTGACTCCAGAGATGGAGGCAGAGGTGATGGCATGAAGAGATAGAGCAGCTGAGGACTCTAGACTCATGGAAAGAGAAAGTCTGTGTGCTGGAGGGCAGGAGGCAGGCTTGCAGAATGTGCCCTTCAGTTGTTTAAATGATTATATATTCCTGAGTGTTTTTGTGTACATAAAAAAAAAAAAAGAGAGAGATAATAGAGGCAATTACTGTTAATCAATGGTCCATGGAAGAGATTATAATCACTGCTGCAATGAAACAAATTACAACTGGTTGAGTGCAAATCGAATGTTCTGCCATGTAAACTATCACTCAATTCAAACTAAAGTTTACGAGAAAAAAAAAAAAAAAAAAGAGGGGGTAATGGTGAGGTGACAAGGTGATACGAGGGTCAAGGAAGGTCATCCTAGCACCCATCCATTATCTACACACAGTACAGCCCTATAGACTTGTAGCAGCCTAAAAACTCTACACCCTGTGTTTCCTCTCCAATAGGAACAGACAATAACACAAGGAAGAGCTTTTTAAAAACAACTGTCAATGATTTATTCAACAATAAATATTTCTTGAGCAACTACTAGAGTCCAAACTCTTGACAAAAAATCTGAAAAGGTAGCCGTTACCTGTGGTGATGTGCTCTTGTCGAAGGCTGAGCAACTCCGTCAGAATCTGCACACACTGGTCTGTGTAGGTCCTGGCAATGCTTCCTAACAGAGGAAGAAAATACAGAGAGAAAGCCATCAGGTTAAATACCAGGACCTCATTCTAAGATCACTTCCCTCCAGCCGAAGACAAAGGGGACCAGAAACATCTTCCAAAAAAAAAAAGTCCCTTACTTTTTAAAGATTCTAAGCTTGCTATCAAGGAAGTTTTGTTAAGAGTGGATCTTCTTTTTTTTTTTTTAAGTAAACAATACAAAAATTTCCCTTGGAAAACATTCCATAACAAAGGTATTCACGTGGTAGCAAAACATAAGGCACATTGCTTATTGCAACATGGCTGTACAGGAATGTTCCCACTGGGAACTCCTGAAAGCAATCGGACTGCAGAGTGTCTACTCTCCTCTTTGCTCCCTCTTCTCTGCCTGGACTCATAATCATAGTTTACTCCAAATATGAAGAGTCCCTCCTCTTTCTCTATTTAGCCCTCCAAAACTTAGCTTCCCAACTGTGTTCATTTCATAAATCATTCTACCCTTAAAGTCTAGATGGACAGTAGGAAAATGTCTATAGATTTAGAATTTATTCTGTGTTAGTTTGTAGTCAACACAATATAAAGATGATAGGTGAAGCTCAATAAATGGCTGGTGAATTGGTATTAGGCTTTGGATCTAGATGGCTAACTTCCAGTTCCAGAATTTTATGACCTCTAGGCAAATCAATCATCTTTTCGTGGCTACATTTCTTTGTCTACTTCTTCTTCTCTCTCTTTTTTTTAACAGACAAGATCATCATTTTGACATTCAACAAATCATAAACTTTGTTTCCTCTCAATGATTGCAATCCTCTCCATGTAACAACAGTTATCCCACTTCCTCCCTGGGGTTCCTATTTCCATTCCACCTTCCTTCCCATCCTTTCCCAACTTTGTCCTTAGGTAAACATTGCCCTTTTGATTTTGAATAATTGACCATTTCATGGTGAGCATACCTTACTAGGGTTGTTGTCCCCTCTATAAACCTATCCACTGCTTGGCTGAAAATTAGGCCATGAAGGGTGAGTTCCTTTCCAGACCTGAAGGGTAGTCGAAGGCCACAGTCTCAGGTTCCTCCACTCTCTTTTTGATCACTAAGTCTGGTCTTTTTTTTTTTTTTAATAATTTTGAGTTTTATTCCATATCTTCTCCCGATCTATCCCAGACCTTCTAATGTGATCCCTTTCAGAGCTGTTGGCAGTGGTAACTGGGCATCATCTAGTTCTTCTGGTCTCAGAGTTGTGGAGACTGTTGTTCACATGCTCCATTAGTCTACTGGACTAATTGATTCCAAGCTTCTTCTATTCTTATCACTCTTCTTTCTTCCACACATGGAGAGACAAATAGTTGAACCTTAGATAGCCACTCATGAGCTTTTAAAATCCCAGATGCTACTCACCAAAGTAAGATGTAGAACATTGTCTCTGTGGGCTTTGTTATGCCAACTGACCATTGTGTTCCCTGAGACTATGGTCCTGAGCCTCCAGGTCCAGCAACTCGTTGGCTTAAGATGTTTGATAATCTTTAAGACGTTTCATCATTTTGTCCCCTGTATGCTCCACCACATTCATAGGTGTGTTTGCATCAATGATAAGTATCCATGTATAAACATCCTCTTTTACACCCTCATATATATGTGGGTATGCTCCCACTCCTCTTCTCATATCCATTCAGCCTGTGTCTCTGTCCATGTCTCTCCCTGCAGAACACTCTTGTTCCAAGGTCACCATTCACCCCTTTAGCCTTTGCATACCTCAGGTGTCTGCATCATTCTTCTGTTAACCTGTCTCTTCTTGTATAGTGTCCTCCTTGTCACCCAGGTTAACACATGTCTCCACGACACTTGACAACAACCCTGTAACCTGTGAATTATTCTCCCTTCCCTCCTACCCCTGGTAACCATCAAAGAATGTTTCCTTTAGCATGAAAGCCTTTTCTTGAGTTTTTACAATAGTGGTCTCATACAATGTTTGTCCTTTTGTGACTGACTAATTTCACTCAGCATAATGTCCTCCAGGCACATCCAGGTTGAGAGGTTTCACACATTCACCGTTATTCTTCATCATTGCATAGTATTCCATTATGTGTATGTATCAGTTTAACCATCCTTCTATTGATGGACATTTAGGCTGTCTCTATTTTTTTGCTATTGTGAATGAACTATTGAATGGAAAACTGATTTGCTTTGTAAACCTTTTCCCAATTCACAATAAAAAGTTAAAAAATAATTTTAAGTAAAATAAATGTTAATAAAACCTGTCCTCTTTCCCTGAATGTCCCCAGGAAAACATTTTTGATCATACACAACAAAAGACAATATAAATTCTAAGTGTTGTGACTTAAGTTAATTTAAAATGAAGATACCTATAGTCTCTATCCCAGAACATATGGCAGTAAAAAAGCCCTTTTCCCCTCCTTGTTTGTAGTCACTGACCCAAGTCTTTGGTTCAGGGCATCTGGTCTCTGAAGCATACATAATTCATTCTCTTTTGGCCTCTAGAATTGCTCTGGCAACAGCTTCCTAGCTGGCTGGTTTTGGCACTCAAGAAGGAAAAACAGCAGCTACCTACCTATGGCAAAGATGGCAGCCTGTGCGAAGTCGGCAGACACGTCAGTGCAGTACCCCCGGAGCTCCTCTAACACCTGCTGCACATTCTCATCATTCACCAGCTCACACAGCACCTCCACTTTCTGCAGCTTGATGTAGTGGGGCTCCGAGTAAGAGCAAAAAAACTTCTTGTAGTGAGTGCTGAAGTGACCCGGCAAACTATGCAAGATCTGGCGCACATGGCAGAGGGCAGCAAAACAGAGCTCGCGGCTCTCCGAAGAACAGGCAGCAAGCAAAGAGCCCTTGACTCGCACAAGTACATCCTTTTGTACGTGGGGGAAATTTCTGGCCAAGATCAGGAAAAGTTTGGTGGCCCCCATCACCACAGCTGGACTATTGCTCTTGAGAAAGCTGTCTAACAGATTGAGAATGTCAAACAGCTCCTCCTCACTACGTGGCTGGTAGCGGAGCAGAAAGGTCAATACTTCACCCTGGCCCCACTGGTCCAGTTTTGACATTCTATCCAAAAGAGGAAACAAAAACACGATTTTAGCAACAAAATGAGGAACACCTCCTTCTACTGCCATGTCATCAGTTGGCTGTACATCAAAACGTGAGAAGGATTCTTAAAAATAGGCTCTGCTATAAATGAAACATCCTTTTTATGTACTACTTGATTAAAGCTTAAACAAATTAGGCTACAAATTCAAAGATGAGCTGACACTACAAATGCATACTCATCTGAGATGAAAGATGTCATCAGTGTTCCCTGGACCCAGAGTCTCTACAATTTAAGGCAGCATAAATGGCTTAGTTTGGGAGACACAATGGCTATAGAGGCAGCTAAAACCTGTCACCACAGTTAACAGTTACAGTGCACTTTTGTTTTTACCCTACAGAAGTTGTTCAAGACCGCTCCTTAATTGCACACATCAACAAGGTCCCGCCAGGTGCAAATCCCTGTGCTATACAAACCGATTTAAGAGATGATGGGCAATGGGCTTATTGATGACAACGCCCCCTTCATGTTTCAGAATTTCCTCTAGAGACCTCAGGCAGTTCACAACCACAATCGGATCCTGGTCACGCAGCAAACTGTATAACTCATTTACCAAGGTACCATCTACAAAAGAGAACCAAGATCTTGGGTAAAGAAAAAAAGCTTCAGTATCACAGAGATAGAGCCAAGGTAGTAACTCCAGGCAGGCAAAGCAGAGCTTTTACAAAGTCAAATGGCAACAAAATAAAAGAGACAATAACAAAATACAAGGCAACAAATCCTCATCTCCAGCCTAGTCTATATAACTAAGGCCAAGGTGTTCATTGGGTCTAGAAGAAAGGACCTCTTTAACCTCAGAAAATATCAAATCCGGCGTCTTACAGAGAGAAACATGTTTACCAGTGGGGCTACATCATTATTTCTACCAAAGCTACTAAATCATTCACAAAGTCGTGCATACAACAGAAGCGCAAATAAAAATTGATGGTAATGGATTACACTGAAACATACCCACTTCAGAGTCTTCATGAAGATTATGCATCTTAGCACAGCCAAGGACCGCCACCCTCCTGACGTATGAAGCCTTGTCCCGTAAACCGTTGAGAATAGGTTGTTGGATATATTCCTGCACACCAGGCATCCTAAACAACATATGCTGGAGTCAGCCAGATCCTGAAATATTACTTCTGCCCTAACTTAACACCAGTTACACATGACACCTGTTATTCCTGGTATGGTGCTGTAGGATCTGCACTGGACTGTGAACCACAAGGCTGGCAGTTCAGATTCACCAGCTGCTCCTTGGAATCCTTATATAGGGTGGTTATGAGTCGGAACCGACTCGATGGCACTTAACAACATATTAGTAGAGGATTTAGTAGATGTTTGAATGTGCACCTATCAAATCTTGAAGAATTAAGAGAAAGTTTCTGCCAAACTTAAAAAGCCATTTCATTTGTAATAGTTTTGTAAAGGCAGTTGTTGCAGGTAACATAGCAACCCTGAACAGGGCTTCCAAAGGGCGACTGGTAGGTTTGAACCACTGACCTTGCAGTGAGCAGTCCAGTACTTATTCTACAGCGCCACACCAGCAGTCTGCAAAGGCAGTATCAAACCAAAAACACCAAAGCTGTTGCTGTTGATTCCAACCCACAGTAACCCTGTAAGGGCAGAGAAGTGACCCACAGGGTTTCCAAGTCTGCAAGCTTTATAGAAGCCAACTGTAATAGCTCTCTCCAGTATAGTGGCTGGTGGGTTCAAACCATGCAGATCTTTGGGTTGGCAGTCAAGTGCTTAACTGCTATGCCACCAGGACTCCTTGCAAAGGAAGTACAAAAGACATAGACATAACTGTGTTTAGAAAATTTTAACCAAAATCTAAGAAATAGTTCACTGAGGATGAGAATGGATAAATGTCATTAACAAAACAGTTTCTTAAGTCAAAGCAATGGCAGTAATTCTGAGTTTACGGTTCTATCGTGTTTTCTCCAGTATTAAGGAGATTAAATAAACTGGTCTTATTAGACACTTGTTCCATGTCTTCCTGAATTCATCAGTCACTGAGGAAGGGGAAGGGAAGGAGGATACTCACCGGAGGCTGCACATACTCCGCAGAGCCAGCCCTCGGACCATTGGATTGGGGTCTGAGCAGTCTTTGCACAGTGTATTAATGGCAAGGAGAGCCAGATCTGGTTTCAGGGGGGCATATGTGCACATGTACAAATAAACCAACTTCTTCTGAACAATATCTACAGTGGCACTGGCCTTCACCATTTCCATGAAAACACCAGACATGTCCAATCCCTGAGTCATATGCCTGAAACCAAGACACATGGCAAGAATTAAATACAAAATCCCCAACCTACCAGAGGGAGTTTATTTATGTATGCCTTTATCTAATCAGATGTGTTAGGAGGAAGCAAGCTGGCCTAACCTTGTCTATTATATTACTCAATACTCTAGACCATGGCCTACAAAATTGTTTCTCTATTCATATTCTATAAATACTTTTTCAACCCCTAAGACATTTCAGTGAAATTGAGATTTTACATTCTAAGGATATGCTTTGGGGACACAATCTTGAAGACGGGATATCTCAGACCTGTAGGGGCTTAAAGTGTAGTAAGAAGCCAGAAAAGAACATCCCTAATTACACTGTTCTTGTTGTTCCGTTCCATTGAGGTTAGTTCTGACTCATAGTGGCCCTATATAGGGTTTCTGAGTGACTGGTGAGTATGAACCAACCTTGCAATTAATAATATAATGCTTATCCCACAGTACCACACCAGGACTCATTTTTGTAGGAACAGAAAGCCTCATCTTTCTTCCACAGAGCAGCTGGTAGGCTTGAACCATCGACCTTGTGGTTTGTAGCTCAGTACTTATCCTACAGCACCACTGCGCTCCCTCTAATTACACTACAATATGCCAAAGTCTTATGACAGAAGTAATGTGCAAAGTGGGAAGGGAATCCAGAGGACTGATACTTCCAAGAAGTCAAAAAGGTTTTCTTCACAGAGGAAACAATACTTGAGCTGAATGAGCAGGCGCTCACTAGGCAGCCATGATAAGAGCAGTCACACAAGTTATGAGGCATGCAGACATGAACAAAATGGTATTCTTTTGAGAGTCTGTAGGTAGGTAGTTGAATTAGGTTGAGTGTTCCTTCGGTGCTATAAGAAGTTTGAATTTTATTCTGTTCATTCACTGTTTCTCAAATTGTGGTCTTCTAGCTGGTGTGGTGCTGTGTGTTAATGCGTCAGACTATAAAGTTGTTTGAACTGCAAGGTCGGTGGTTCAAGCTCACCAGCTAGTCCTTGGAAACCCTATACAGGGTCACTATGGGTCAGAATCAACTCGACGGCACTTAACAACAACAACAACAACCATGGTGTGGTGCTGCAAGTTAATGCACCAGACTGCAAGGCCAGTTTGAACTGCAAGATCAGCGTTTCAAATTCACCAGCCAATCCTCCAAAACCCTATACAGGGTCACTATGAGTCCCAACTGACTCAAAAGCATTTAACAATAATCAGAATCACTTGGGATATTTGTTAACAATGAAGATTCCTGGGCTCCACTCCATTCTACTAAAAAGATTTATATTTAAAAATTAGCATATCAAAGGACTTTTGTATATACTAAAGTTTAAGAACCACAGTAGGCAATAAAGCTAAACGTCTAGATTTGCATATTGAGATAATTATTTTAACTGTAATGAGGCCAGGGGACTGCTGGTTGTTGTTAAGTGCGGTAAGTCAGTTCCAACTCATAGGGACCCTTATAGGATTTTGGTTAAATTAGTTCTAACTCATAGTGACCCTGTATAGGATTTCTGAGGAGCAGCTGGTGGGTTTGAAACTGCAATCCTGTGGTTAGCAGCCAGTGCTTATCCTACAGCACCACACCAAATTATTTCCGGCCCATGGCAACCATATGTACAACAGAACAAAGCACTGCCATCCTCACAATTGCTGCTACACTTGAGTCCATTGCTGTTGTTACTGTGCCAACCCATCTCACTGGGGGGCTCCCTCTTTTTTGCTGACCCTCTCCTTTACTAAGTCTGATGTCCTTCTCCAGGGACTGGTTCTTCCTGATAATATGCTTCAAGTATGAGACAAAATCTGGCCATCTTGGCTTCGAAGGAGCATTCTGGCTGTATTTTTTCCAATACAGATTTGTTTATTCTTCTGGCAGTCCACGGTACCTTTAATATTCTTCTCCAACACTATAACTCAAATACCACACCAGGTAAGGTACTGCAATTGCCTTGGGAATAAAGGTCTAAACTAAAACAGCGGTGCCAATAAAAAAACAAGAACTAAGTCTATGCCAGCTGACATGAGAAGTGACAAACCAGGTGTCATCAAAGTTGACTCCCAAGTTTCTTTATGGCTTGGTTGACATGGTGGTGACATTCAAGACAAATATACATGGAAGAGTATATTTGGGGAGGAGAGGAGGATGCAGGCGCTATTTTGGACATGCACTTGATAAGCTATGGAACCCTGGTGGTGCTGTAGGTTAAGTGCTCAGTTGCTAACCAAATGTTTGGCAGTTCGAACCTACTAGTAGGAGAAAGATGTGGCAGTCTGCTTCTGTAAAGATTACAGCCTTAGAAGCCCTATGGGGCAGTTAAACTCTCTTACAAGGTCCGTCTAGTGTGGCGCTGTGGGTTAATGCGCCAGACTGCAAAGCCATTTGAAGTACAAGCTCGGTGGTTCAAGCTCACCAGTCGCTCCTTGGAAACCCTATGCAGGGTCGCTATGGGTCGACTTGACGGCATTTAACAGGATCCGTCTAGGGTTACTGACATGGCAATGGGCTGGGTCTTTTGGTTGCGATGAGTTATCCAGGTGGAAACGGCAATCAGGCAGTAGAATATGTGGGTCAGAAGCTAAGAAAGGAGGCCTGGACTAGACAAAAATCCAGGAATCTTCGGAGTATAGGGCCTATGATACGAATTAAATCACCTAGGGGAGTAAAAGAAGTTTCACAAGGGCGACAGCCATGGCACTCCAAAGAAACAGGATGAAAATCACATCACAGAAGTGCCTGGTATGAAAGTTCATTTACTCACTCTGAATGGCCTAGGGAAGAGGGCTCGGATGGGGGCTGCAGTGGGAGAGCTGGGGGCGATACCTAATCACTCGCTGAATGACATTCCGGTAGCGCAGCCTATCAGCCTGAATGTGAGGGTTACACATAGCCTTCTTCAGCTCTTTCACCACGTCCTCTGAGCCAAGGTACGGCATTTTTTGCAACAGTCGCGGGGTAGCTCCCACAGATCCCACCTAGGTAACTCGTGTTCCTTCTAGCCCTTGATTGGGAACCTGCGTAAAGAAAATGTGTCAGCAAACAGACGACATGCGTGACTGCACCCCAGCCTAGACTACCCCAGGGCCCGAATCCTGGTCCTCGGCTACTCAACCCTCTTCCCTCCCCGGAAAGCCTCACTTTCGACCCTTCTCCAGACCGCCAATTTAGTTCGCTCCGCCCAAAGACCTTGCCCACGACAATGGCCTCTCAGCCCCCAGTCCGATTTCCGACCCCACAGCCGCCAGCCTGCAGCCCCCCTCCTTTCTCCCCTAGTCCCAGCCTTTCTAGAGCCTCCGCGTGTTGCCCTCACGGATACACCCAATCAGGCTTTCTCCGGAAGTCCCGCCCCATCACGGAGAGATCACACAGAGCAGCTGCCATTCACCTTCTCCCTGCGAGCGCCGAGCTGTACCTAGACTCCGACCTTAGGGCGCCCTTCCCCAAACCTTTCACCTCAAGGCGCAGCCGCACGGCTCCCTCTGACGGGTGTTCGGAAATCGGCTACTTCAGCCTGTCTCCGCCCAGCAGCGCGCGCTTTGAGTGCCCGGCCCCGGTTCCCGCGCGAGTGGGAGTGGCGCTCTGTCCTCTGTTCTGTGATTTGACATCCCACCCAGTGCCCTCTGGGCATGACCGTTTCCTTCTTTCTACCCACCGTGGTAAACGTCATCCTTCACTAGACTGACTATCCCTGAGGATGCCTGGCTCTGTTACTGCCCCAGCATGACTTTTTTCTGGGCGCCGTTGTGGAAGCCTCACGCGGGAACTCTATCCTCACAAAGATCCCACTGTCACCATGAACGGGGCCCTGATCCCCCATACTCCCATCGCTGTGGACTTTTGGAGCCTGCGCCGGGCTGGTTCCGCGCGGCTTTTCTTTTTGTCGCATATGCACTCGGACCACACGGTGGGCCTGTCTAGCACCTGGGCCCAGCCCCTCTACTGCTCCCCAATCACTGCCCACCTCTTGCATCGACGCCTACAGGTATGAGGGGCTGGAGTCAGCCTCCGGAGAACTAGGCTAGGCTTCTGGGTAGGGACTTTTCTAGGGGGAGGGGGAGAGGTATGTGTCCCAGCCACGGAGCCTAACCGATCTTCCAGATTTGTGAGTTGTTTGAACCCAGAAGTGCGCCTTTATCTCATGATATGAATATGGCTTCCAATAGGCAATTTATAATATTTCAGCGCTTATTGGGGGACTCTTTTAGTCAAGCTGTGGGAAGAAGGTACACTATCCATACCTTTCACATAATTAGGCTAGTGATCCCCAAACTTTCCTACTTTTAAGAATCTGCCAAATGTGTTGGTTAAATTTGGGTGGGCTTCGAAAAGTTCTTGGAAAACTGGAATGAAATGAGAATGGCATTTTTCCGCAAACTTTTGAAGTCCCTGTGAATACACAATCTCCAGGGTCCCCTTCTCTCTTACATCCCATCTGATTTGTAAGTGCAAGTCTTGGAAATTTGGCTGGAATTTCTGAAAATCAAGTACCCAAAGGGATTGTAATCAGGAAAGCGCTGGAATCCCCGACTGCACTGCTTTCTGAACTCCTAACTTTGTACAAGGAGCCCTGGAGTAGCGCTGTGGGTTAATGCGCCAGACTGCAAAGCCGTTTGAACTGACAAGTCCACGGGTTCAAGCTCACCAGCTGCTCCTCGGAAACCCTATACAGGGTCGCTATGGGTCGGAACCCACTCGACAGCACTTCACAACACAACAACAAAGTGGTACAAAGGGTGGGGTCGGAAAGAGGAAGGAGTAAAGACTGATTGCTTGGGATCCCCCATTACAACTGCTGCTCCAGGGAATCTCAGGATTTAATTTGGGAAAGGGATAGCCCCTGGCCCAGGGAGGAGAGTTTTGTGGTCACTGGTATGACTGGCTGTTTTCTCAGGTATCTAAGCAGTGGATCCGGGCCTTGGAAGTCGGTGAGAGCCATGTACTACCTTTAGATGAAATTGGTCAAGAAACCATGACTGTGACCCTCATCGATGCCAATCACTGCCCTGGCTCTGTCATGTTTCTCTTTGAAGGATACTTTGGAACCATCCTCTACACAGGTGGGTGTCCTGAGAGGTCCCTGCCACCTTCCCAGTACAGACACTAATTTTCTTGAGCAGCCTTTACACCTAATAGAGGACATGAGGCTGTCTGCCTTCATTTCATACAAGAACAGTGTCCCTTTCTTGGTCAGTTTCCCGCTTGTGTGGTGATTGTTGGGTATGTGCCGTGGAGTCAGTTCTAACACATAGCCACCCTATTTAGGGTTTCAGAGACTATAAATCTTCATGGGAACAGAGAGCCTCATCTTTCTTCCATAGAGCAGCTGGTAGATTCGAACTACTGACCTTGAGATAAAGAAGGTGTACACAAAGAAGTCCCCTACCTAACCAGATGATAGTTTTCCCATAGCCAGTAAACAAGCACACATCTGTTGTTGGGATTGGGAGAAGTCTGTCTTCTAGTCTTTTGTCTCCGTGGTCATCCAGTGACCATGAGCTATTCTCCCGGATACCTTCTGGATCAGGGACCATCCCTTTTACGAATTGGGAGATGTTGACCAAATCCTGAGACTTCCTGGGATAATAACAGAAGTTGTTATGGGATTCCCAAGCAAGCTACCCCACCCCAACCTCTTTATATAATCTGCACTGCTGCCCCCCACCCCTTATATTGTTCCAGGTGATTTTCGATATACACCATCCATGTTAAAGGAGCCAGCCCTGAGAGTGGGGAAGCAGATCCATATCTTGTACCTAGACAACACTAATTGCAACCCAGCCCTTGTTGTTCCTTCTCAACAAGAAGCTACTCGTCAGATTATTGAACTCATTCGAAAGCACCCACAGCATAATATAAAGATTGGTGAGTGGTTCCTTTCCTTTTTTCACCCATAGCCAGTGAATCTAGGTTCTTTGAGGGTTCTCACAACTTTCAATTCTTTATGCAGATCTCACCTCCACCATGAAAGCTTCGCCTATCTCCTATTTAAAACAACCTGCACACCACCTCAGCCCATTCCTGTATTGTTGCCACCTGATCCCCTACAACGTTCTATTTTCTCTTTTTCATACCACTCATCACCTTCCAGTAGACGATGCATTTTTTCAAATGTGGGCAGCATGCACGCATTCCCTGCGACACACACGGCAGTTTTTCCTTGCGAGTATGGATGAAGGTCATTGTTCTTAAGTGCTGGCAAGTTGGTTCCAACTCATGGTAACCCTGTATAGGGTTTCCGAGAAGTGGCTGGTGAACTTGAACCACCAACCTTGCGGTTCAACCTAACCTTGCAGTCCAGTGCTTTAACCCAGAGCGCTACATCAGGACTGGATGAAGGTGGGAAGGCGCATTTATATTTATGCTATTGAGAAGCAGCATCCTGCATGACAGAAGCAAAGTGGGTGAAGGGTAGAGTGGTGGGTGCCGGACCAAAGATGGCTTGTAAGCTATTTTGAACTTGCTCCTAAATATCACTATTGTTCTTAAATATAAAGAGCTGTTGAAGGCGTTTAAATAGGAAGGACAAAATTGTATTTATTACTTTGTCATGTATTAACATAACTTCTTTCTTTACTGTCTTATCTCCCTCTGCTAGAATATAAGCTCCATGATGTTTTACTTCTGTATATATTCCAAATGCCTACATCAATGCCTGATCCATAAACCCACTACCATCAAGTCAATTCCGACTCATAGGGACCCTATTGGACACAGTAGATCTGCTCCTTAGGGTTTCCCAAACTGTAAATATTTACGGGAGCGGACAGTTTTATCTTTCTCCCACAGAAGAGCTGACATAGGCATTCAAAATATGTATTATATAAATGAATGAAATTGATCAGAGTATAGACTTTAAATGAATGCTGTGCTTTAAATTCAATACTTTGAGAGAGAGAAAAAAACAACAACAATAACAACCCAGCTACATACCTGTTCTAGTGATTCTACAATGTTACAGAATAGTTTTGGAACTCTTCTTTTGAAGTAGTCTTAGGAGGTAGTTCATGAAAATCACCTTTTAGTTTTAAAAAATAGAATAGATTTAGTTCTAAATTATTTTTTTGGTGTTTCTAAAATTGTAACAAATCCTCAGAAGTAAAATGATTTGCCACCATTATGAATACTTTTAAACAATTTGCCTCAATTCTGAAAGGAGTTTCCAAGCAAGGATAAACAAAAGCATTACAAAATTGTGTAGCCTTCCAGGATGATTACTAACTTAATTGAGAAATAGCCCCTACTCTCAGGATTGCTTGAATGCTTATGAAGAAATAAGAGACCAATGAGGAGAATGTAGTCAGTGTCATTGAAGTGCACGTGTAGAAAATTGTTAAATGGGTGTATGATCCGATGATATTTCTTTCTTCCTCCATATTTATTTTTAGTGAAAATATATCCATCAGGTCATATAAATATTGAATAACCATTGAAGAAAGAAATAATCATAGCATATTATTTCTTCCTTCAGTATTTATTACTGGTAAAAATACCACATCGGATCATACACCCATTCAACAATTTCTACACGTACACCTCAATGACACTGACAACATTCTCCTCATTGATCTTTTATTTCTTCATAAGCATTCAAGCAGTCCTGAGAGTAGGGGCTATTTCTTAAGTTAGTATTCATCCTGGAAGTCAGAAACTCTATAAAGGGTCACCATGATTTAGAACTGACTCCACAGCAACAAGAACAACCACCCAGTCTTTGACTTTTCAGTGCAGAATTTACACAGAGGCACAACTGTCTAAAAGGGTGCTGTGGTAGGGGTTTGATTAATTTTGTAAATATTTAATAAACCCCCTGTGTGATGCTGTGGGATAATGCACTGGACCTCAAGGTTGGTTTGAACTACAAGGTCGGCGGTTCAATCTTACCAGCTACTCCTTAGAAACCCTATACAGGGTTGCTATGAGTTGGAACCTACTCCATGGCACTTAACAACAATAACACTATATCCCAGATCAATCCATTTCAAACTGCAGAAGTTGGTAAAAAATCTTCAGATTCTTCCAGGTGCTTGAGTTGGACACTGATTGGTGAGTCAAGCGAAATAATAGTCATAATAGTTGTATTGATTTGTTGTTCAAATTGGTTCCAACCCATGGCAACCCTGCACAGGGTTTCCAAGGAGCATCTGGTGAGTTTGAACTGCTGACCTTGTGGTTCAAACCAACTTTGCAGTCCAGAGCATTAACCCACCACGCCACACCAGGACTCCAGTCTTCCTTCTCCTGTTGTTGTTGTTGTTGTTATGTGCCATGGAGTTGGTTCCGACTTATAGTGACCCTGTACAGGGTTTCCAAGGCTATAAACCTTTATGGGCGTGGAAAGCCTCATCTTTCTCCTGCAGAACAGCTGGTAGTTTTGAACTGCTTACCATGAGATTAGCAGTCCGATTCATAACCACTACACTACCAGAGCTACTTGGTCTTCCTCCTAGTTGTGTGGAAATCATCCTATCACTTACAGTGTTGTAACTCAGGATAGATCTTGGATTTTTTTTTTTTTTTTGCCAGTGAAGTGTCTCTCTTCAATTTGTCATTCCCGGCATAGTAGATCATATGACTGTATGATTCAGAATGGTCAGTACCAGTCCATTTCAGCTAACTAATGCCTAAACCACTAAAACCTTTAAACATTCCATTTCATTTTTAACGACTTGCAGTTTTTCTTGATTCATATTTTGATTACAAACAGGTAGGTGCAACTATTTCTTCTCACTTCAGGTCTTAACACATCAGCAAATGCAGTCCTGACTGAGAGCTTAACGCTACCCATGTCATTAAGGTTGCCTCTGCTTTGAGGAGGTAGGTCTTCTCCAGTTGCATTTTGAGTGCCATCCAACCGAAAGGGCTCATTTTCCAGCACTGTATCAGACAGTGTTCTACTCCTACCTATAAGGTTTTCTCACTGGCCAGTTATTTTTGGAAGTAGATCACCAGGTTATTCTTCTTACTCTTTCTTAGTCTGGAAGCTCTGCTGAAGCCTGGCCACCATAGGTGACCCTACTGGGATAGCTTCCAGCATCCCAGCAACACAAAAACAACTAACATATGACAAATAGGCAGTTCATTAATGTCAAAGATGAAGAAGTTGAAGATTTTTACCACCTTTTTCAGCCTGAAATTGATCAAACATGCAATCAAGACACACTGATAATTTGTGATTGAAATGTGAAAATTGAAAATGAAGAATGATTGGGTGTTGGAAAATATGACCTTGGTGATAGAAACAATGGCAGAGAACGTATGAAAGAAATTTACAAGACCAAACACTCATTGGAAATAATCTTTTTTCAACAACATGGTGACTATACCTGTGGACCTCATCAGACAGAATACATAAGAATCAAGTTGACTTCATATATGGAAAGGGATGGTTGAGAAGCTCAGTATGAAAAGTCAGAACAAGGCCAGGGGTTGAGTGTGGACTAGACCCTCAATTGCCCATTTGCAAATTCCAGTTGAAACTGAAAAAAAAATGCAATGCCACAAGAACCAAAGGGTGATCCTAAGTACATCTCGCCTGAATCTAGAGACCAGCTCAAGTGTAGATTTTGTGCATTGAACATTAATGACTGAAGTCTGGGCAAGTAGTGGGATAATATAAAGAATATCATGCACAAAGAAAGCAAAACGTTGCTTAAAAGACAGGAAAGAAAAAAAAATAAAAAAGATCAAAATGGATATCGAGAGATTCTGAAAATTGCACCTACCTGCAGAGTAACTAAAGAGAATGGAAGAAATGATAAAAGAACTAAACAGAAGATTTTAGAGGGTGGTTTGAGAAGACAAAGTAAAACATTACAATGATATACACAAAGACCTGGAGTTAGAAAACCAAAAGGGAAGAACACACTTAGCATTTCTTAAGCTGAAATTGTTGTTGTTGTTGTCAGGTGCCATCGAGTCGGAACCGACTCATAGCGACTCCATGCACAGCAGAACGAAACAATGTTCGATCCTGGGC